TTCTTCTATATTTTCCCCTTGACCCCTGGAGAATACACAAATAAAATCAATTAATGGGCCTTGAAGAAGAATCACTTTAAACTGTTCAATTAAACCCCGCAATGCAGAGAACAGAAAGGAGAAGGAAAGAAAAAAAAAAAAAAAAGAAAAAACAATAAATACGTCTTAAAAAATGGACTTGTCTGAGGCGCCTGGGCCCCGACATGCACCATTACTGACGGATCGAATCACACTTCCATTAACACCATAATCTTATAGACTCCACAGGCCGTAAAAAAGGGATTTACTTTAATCAGGTTTGGTTAGGGCTGAATTTGAAAAGCGCTACAAGTGAAATAAAACACGACCTCGTCCCCCCTTTGATTTTCTTTCTTCTCACTCCGGCTCTCTAATTTACAATTTGCTGGCCGCCAACGGCTCGTTCCTAATGGCCGCGATCCAGTAGTGTGTGTCGTGCTCTCTCCCTGATCCTGGTGGAAATGATTAGGAAGAACATCGACCTTTCGTTTCCGTCCCCACCTCCCGCTTCCCTGGACCATTGCCTCGGACGTGGCATTTCCTTCCGTGCAGCCCTCAGTCCTCCGTGTCTCCCCCAGGCCTTTCCCTGGCAGCGCTGAGGATGATGTTTGGTCCAACCCCCTGCCATGGGCAGGGACACCTCCCACCAGTCCATGTTGCCCAAAGCCCCATCCAGCCTGGCCTTGAACACTTCCAGGGATGGGGCATCCACAGCTGCTCTGGGCAACCTGTGGGTTCTGCTGCCCCAACCATCGTGAGCTGGTGATAAAAAATACCGTATTTTGTGCTATTTAGAAGACTGTCGTGGTGGGATGGTTATAATCAGCCTGCTATGTTCTACGAGGTTATGTTGTACTTCTCTAGGAGTTGTGTGTAGGCAATATTAGCACTTGGGTGGCAGCAATGAAGAACTGTAGACCACAAGGTCACTGTGTGCTTACATGGGTAGGAACACAAATAAAAGAAAGCAAAGAACGGTCACACTGAAATAACTGCTGCTGCCTGTGCCAGTGTGTTTTGTGTTCCTCTGACAAGGTCCTCGCATGGTACAGTACAACTGGCCAGCCTGGTGGGAAATTGGCTGAGTAAATGCACTAAGTGCCATGCAACAGAATTAATTCATAGCGGCTGTGCAGGACTCTTTATAGGTCAGCTGTGGCGTTCAGAGTTGCTTTACGATAGCTGGGTGTTGGCAAGTGTATTTTGGTTCCCAGCAGGGTGCCTGTGTAACATTATTTGGTTGTTTCACAGGGTTGCAAGTCCCTGAAAATTTCCCTCACTTATCTTATATTCCCTCTTTTCCACCTCAATGCACAATCCACATCTGTGAATGAATATGTAAATTCCTTGTGTTTAACTAGAAGGTGCTACCAACTTCTCCTACTTAGCTTTAGAAATGTATGCAGCTAGACTTGACATGTTCCTCCAGGTTTTCAAGATAAAGCTAAAAAAAATAAAAAAAAAAAAGAGAAGAACATTTCAAGTATTTCATGGAAGAACTGGTTGCATAGCCATGCTTGATTTTCTGAGTGCTGGAAAACTGAGGAAACACGAGTCTGTAGGTGGGAAAAACTGGCACTGGAGAGCTGTAGTGGAGGGACCAAATAATGCTCTTTTAGGTCAGCAGTGTTTGATGACTCCTAAGGAAAGAGTGAAGGAATACCTTCTTTGTGGACAGAAACCCACCAGCTTGAGCTGCAAAATGTACGTAGCCCTCCTAAATACACTCATCTCTGAGTTTTCAGACTTCCTTGCAGCCATAAAACATTGTTCTACACACCTGTATCAGGTATAAAACAGCCATCTATCTGTATTACCATGATTTTGCTTCGCTTTTGAAATACCAGTGCTAAAACAGGAGAGGTGCGAAGGAAGTTTCTGATGGGGCAAAAAAGGGGCTTTTGAGAAAATCGTTCAAGCTGGATGTTCTCCCGTCCTCCCTCCTTACAGTGACAAGATTTGCAGCTACTCAGAAAATCACAGGAAGAAAAGGAATATCGGCAAAGAGTGATTTCATTTCAGAAGGAGATGGTGAACAGGAAAGAGGCTGTTAGATGGACATTATGGGTGTTTGTGTGTGTACATGTAAGTGGAAGGGGGCGGGGGGAGAAACTTGAGACAGGCAAAAGAAAGGAGTCTGAATGACAGTTTTGTCATGGGAAGGCAAGGCTAATGTTAGCAACTGATAATAAAGGCAGGCAAAGGGGAAAAAAAAGCATAAAATTCACTTAAAAAACTCTCCAAGTTTAAAAGCTCCCCAGAGGCTTTGTAATAGAAAAGGGCTTTTAAGTGCTATTTTTTCCCCCTGTTTTTCCTTTGGGGATGTCTCAGAGGGATGATTTATTGTCTAATGTATTTAAAGTGACAAGGCCAATTTTGGAGAGCTTGCTGCAGCAGTGCCAGCAGCGCTTCTGACGGCGCCGCAGCGCGCACCCTCTGCTGATGGCTCCTCGGCGCGGGGCTGCGCTGCTGCTCGCCGACAGCGCAGCAAGCCGACGTGGGAGACGCCCTTGCAGACCGTACTGGCAGGGAGACAACACCCTGCTGCATTCCCCATTCCGCTGGCGAAAATGGGAGGAGAGGGTGCAGCGATGGAAGGAGACGGCTAGAAGCTCGCCCCAGTTCCTGCGCCCTAAAGAAGTGTCTTTCGGGTGCCCTTTGAAGGAAAAGCTCCATCTCTGTCCCTTTCCATGCTACCTTCTGCTAGAGCTGTCTGCAGGCCGGTTCGGGCTGTTCCTATTCACGTGTGAGATTTTACCTTCTTCTCTGGGCCTGTTTCTGTGAAGACTTGCCACTCAGGCATGACTGCAACCCTGTTCTCTTCATGCCACTACAGCTGCTGCAAGCAATAAGCTTCACCTTCCCAAGGAGAGTTTAAAAAAATCTCAGGGCTAGGGATTTTTTTTTTTTTTTAATATCGAGCCTGTGTTTACTTTTGCTCTATTACACTTATATTTATACTCCTTAATACAATTCCTCTACCTTCCTGGTATTTACACACTTGTAGACGGTTAATCTTACCCCTTGCCAAGCAATACATATTTAATTATTTTAATCTCTTCTCATATGTCAGTGCTTTCAGACCCTTAATAATTTTTTTTCTGCTCTTCTCTGTATTCCCTGTGCTCATCAACATCTTTTGTAAATACATGTTGCCCAGAATTAAGGGCAGCATTCCAGGTGCTGTCCTGCCAGATCTATGCAGAGGGCCAGTACCTCCTCGCTTTCTGTCATGATTTCTCTGCAGATGAAGCACAGCATTATGTTAACTATTTTTTTTTTCTGCTGGTGCTATAGAGCATTGGAGATCTGTAGCGTAACTTGCTGTCCACTATCTCCCACAGCCTGTTCATCTCCCTCATCACTGTTTTCCAGATCCTGCTTCTCTTAATATCCAGGTTTCCATTTATTGTTCCTATGCACTAGCCTGGATTATTCTAAGTTGATTCTCATTTTTTTGTTGGCTGGTCCCTCCTCCTAACCTTTCTGGCTTATACTGTGTCTGCCTGTCTACAGCAATGGATAATGGAAGAAGCTACTCCTGTATCTGTACTCATATTTATCTTGGCCACACCGCTCAAAAATTGACCCTCAATTCCTTGTGCTTGTTTGCTCCCTCCCTCCCTGCAGTGGTGCTCCTTGCTTACAAATGGTCAGCAGTCGGGCAGCTGTGTCTTGTCTCCGTACGAGCCAAGAAGAATCTCCTTGACCTGAAAGGCAAGCAGAAGCAGCAGCTACCTCATGCTCAGCTTGGCCGTGTTAATGCTGAGTGCGCCAGCCAGCTTTGCATGTTCTCCGTACTGCGTGATGCTTCCTCTTCTAATCAGTCTGAGCATCACTGCTTCTCCCAATCGCCCCCTGCACTTAATTGACCAATAGAGCTAGACATATGGAAGATCGAATCACAAACCCAAATCAGCAGTTGTCAGAGGAGATTAATTCAAACAGGAAGCTACAAAACACTTGTTTTTTTTTTCTTTCTTTTTTTCTTTCTTTTTTTTTTTATTTTATCCCTCAAGCTCCAATGGAAGAAATGATTGTTAATATCCCCAGCTGTACACTCAGGCAGATGGCAGTGACTCCAATGCACTCTCCCTACCCAACTTTCCATGTGATTTCTCTGGTATTTAAATGACAATGCGAAATTATTGAGGAAGGGAAAGAAAGAAGAAGCTGTATTTACACTGCCTAACTCAGAGCATCTAAGTTAAATTAGCCTGTGTTAAAAGGAGAGTCTGTCTTAATTCACTGTACAGGCAATGCAGAGAAGACAGATGTGCTGAATTTCTCAGCTGGAGACAGAGCTTTCTGCCTCTCACCACTGACACTTTAGGGAGTCTAAGGAGGTGAACATCCTAAGTCGGGTGCACATCTTCCCTCCTTTGGCTGCATTGTCCTCTTCTGTTGTGCTCAAGGGTCTTCAGCTCTGAAACACACCCACTGAGGATGCCCTGGCGGTATCCTGCTCTGCCTGCACGCTAGTCGTACTGAGATCAAGGCTCCTTCATGTTCCTCTGCCAAGGGATGGCCTTTCCCCACCCCTACAGTCTAAAGAGCCAGCACGGTCAAAGAGGGACAGCAAAAGGTGTAGAAATGTGAAGTTAGTGCCTCAAGGAGGAATGATTCCTCCTGAGGAAGGAGTCAGGGCAGATGGAGACTGAAGGTCAGCCGTCTGAAGGCAGCCAGCTGCGTGGCTTTCACCTCCACAGAACAAGGAGCTGCAGGCTGGGAAGTGCTTTTCTGCTAGGCTGAGGAAGGTGCAGGGAGGTGCCCTGCTTTTCCAGTGGTACTGCCTCTGCATTATCAGGCTGCTCCAGAGCCACCCTTTCCTGGCAGTTTCAGCAGGGTCTGTGATAATGGTGGTTATTGCCAGGCTCTGAAAGGCCTCAGCTACCCAAACTTGTACCCTCCTAGCAACACCTGTGACATGCCAATGGTGTAATAAGTGATGATGAAATGAAGCACCTGGCTATATAATAGGGGCAGGGGAGGCAGAGCTCAGCCAGTCCTCCCACCCTCCTCATCACCTCCAGCATGAGGCAGCCCCCAGCTGCGGCTCCCTTGCCTTACCCTGAGGCGGGCAGTGGGGCTGGGTGATCTGTTGGGTGGAGACCTGATGAGCCCCATTTTGGGGGGCACAGGTGGAGGCACTGAGGGATAACAAAGGAAGGGAAGAAAGAGGTATGCTCAGAGTGCTGCTGCAAGAAGCTGGGACCTGTGGTGTTGGGGGGAATCTTCTTGTTCCTGCTTTGAGTTTGTGACCTCCACCATGAGGCCTACTTTTAACAACCAAGCTCTGTTTGAAGATGGACTCCTTCTCTCCTGGGCTTGCCTTCCTCGGCAGCAGACACGGAGAGGGAAACTGCTCTGCAGGGCTTTCCTGCCCGGTGAGGAAGGTCTGTGAGGAAGGTCTTGTGAGGATAAAAATCCTCACAAGAGCCCATGGAGGAAACAGTGCGGCTGCTGGGTGCGTGGCAACGTGCCGTCAGATGTCGGGACCTGGCTTGAAGGACGGAGCCCCAGCGCTGGAATGAGGCGGTCAGTTTTCAACCTGCTAAAACACAGAGGGGATCCCCGAGCACCTCTGCAGGACCACAGGTTTTGGACTTGCCCCATGAGGGCTGAGCCATGAGGATAGTGCCTGCAGGCTGGTGGGTCCTGGCCTGTGGTGGAAGGAGCCTAGCCAACATCATCCCCTCAGGCTGTGGGGTGGCTGAGAGAGCACCCTGGGACTGTCAGGGTGGCAGATAGATTATCAATGTGGAAAAGATTGATAAGATTGATATCAGGCCTGATAAGAAAGGGACTGCGCTGAAGGGAGCACCAAGGGAAAATGGCTCCTGGCCTCAACAGGCAGTGGTGGGGACCTCAGCCTTCGGTGCATGTATTTGAGGTGCTCGTGGCTTATACCCCCTCCTCCTGGGGGTGATTCAGACTGCTCGCACACATTGCTGGGTTCTTGATGAACTGTAATCAGTAACAGGGGAAGAGACTTGAGGTCTTTGCACCGAAGCCCTCTGCTCAATAGCTAGCAGTGATTTTGCTTTATTCCATTCTTCCCCTTCAAAAAGAAAAAATTAAAAAGGGTGAGGATGCATGAAGATTGGAATAGAAAACATTGACAATCTTATCATACTACTGTACAAATCAATAGCACGCACTTGACTGGAATAATACTGATTGCTGTATCCTGTGAAAGTTATAGAGGATTGAGATGGGTTTTGAAACTCTGAGACTGGCCTCTTTCAAGAGGTGCCCAAACACATTATGGACTGCTTGGGGAAGGGCTAAGTGAAATCCCCTAGCCTGTGTTATGCAAAGGGTTAAGCAAGACTATCAAAATGGTCTGAAAATGTAAGTCCTTGGGTAAAGCAACAAGCTCAACTACAGCCCCGGCACTGGATGGGAGAACTTAACAGGATGTTTCCAGCCCGATACCGCTGTATGTGGAAGGCCGTACCAAAGGTAAGTCAAATGGTGGGTGCAGAACAGTACTGTGGAAAATAATTGTATATATGTGGGAAAAAATAATTATCTTAGTTTGGCTGGATGAGAAAGTGCTTTGAGATTGAAATCTGATCACGTGTATTTAGGTTGTGAGATTAAAAGGGTTGGGGAGGTGGGGTTTCCTTATCCAGAAGTGTATTATTTTGTTTTGGGTGCCTTGCAAAGAATGGAAAACGTGAGGCTCAGGGTGGTATAACACAGCTGTGTTCTGTTGGTAATTAACCTTCTCCTGAGGAAGGTGTGAGCTTAGGTCCTTCTGAATAGCTTCACTTCTCTGAATTTCCTAAATAAAAATAGCTTTGATATAGGTGGAAATGTAGAAATGGGCATCTTGCTGCCCCTTTGGTAGCATCTGGTGTATGTCAAGAAAGCTGGATGGGATTTTTCTAATAATTCTGAGCGTCTGCAAAGCCTTACCTTTTGCAGGGTTTGTTGGTTTGTGCATACACGTGCATCTGATGCACTCTGGCATGGAGTGGAGGCTACTGGGTACACATTTTGTCTGTGTTTTCCTGGAAAGCTAATCGTCACCTGAAACAAAGAGTTGCATATGCATGCTCTTCGAAACTAGGGCAGCAGAGCTCAGCGCCACCAGGGATCACTTGGGTTGTCAAGTGAGCGGGATTAGGGTTGGCCAAGGAATTTGAGAATAAACACAGTTATGTTGTGCAGGATAAAAGGAGATGGTGATCAATACATTTTAGAGCTTCAGGGCTTAAGCCAAGCAGCATCTGACAGGATTAGGAAGGAACTTTTTAAACATGGACTAGTCATCCTATAATTGCCTGCCTGGGATGTTTGCACATCCTTTTCTGATACCTTAGTGAAGCCGGCTGGCTGAGAGAGACAGCCAGCGCAGCAAGACCTCTGAAAAAAATACTGGTTTCTTGCAGTTTCCGTGTGCTGTAGGTGTTATAAGGCAAGATAAAATGAAGTTTGAATTTCTGGGCACAGGATGGCAATAGGGGCTGCATGATGTTTCTCAGTCCCACCTAAAGAGGGTGGAAAGGAGGAGCTGCAGATCAGCGGCGGTGGTGGTGGTACTGTGCCTGGGGCTGAGCCCTTGAAGGGGGAGCGTGTGGATGCAGGCACAGAGCTCCTGTGTGGGTAAGGGGGCTTGCCAGCTGCTTCCCGGAGCTGTGCGGGGGCTCATTACATTCTGTGGCCGCCGTCATCGCAGCAGTGGCAGATGTTGTGGGATGTGCCTGGCGTAGCCGCTGGGGACGCAGCGAATCTGGTGCGATGGTCAGAATGGCAGCGAGGCGCCAGCAAGCTGGGGGCTCTGGAGCTGGGCCTTGCTGTTAATGCACGGTGCCTTCTGTTACATGCAGAGGGCAGGGAATGGTTTGTGGGTCTCCTCTTTTTCTCCGTGCTGCAATTCCTGAGCTCATTGTTCGCCGTTTCCTCTCTCCCTGTCTCCCCACCCCATTTTTACATCTAAAGGTAATGTGCCCTGGGCTGTGTACGTGCATTAAAGACTTGAAATAGCTATGGGTGTAATTGAGGCTTCTCCCCCAGTGTCAGAGCAGAAGGATGGCTGGAAGCTGGAGCTGGTCACTTGGCTTCTGTTTAGGTAGGATGTAGCTTGTGTCAGATCCTTGGTGTGGCTGCATTTTGTAGCTTCTGTGAACCTGCTGCAAGGCTCTACCAGTGTTTTTATGCAAAGAGAAATGCTTGCTGCATTCTGGCCACCTCTGCCCTGATAGCTAAATAAACAGCACACAGTAGCATACTCTGTAAATCACACTACTTCTGCAGCCTCTTGTTTCATGTGCTGTTTTCCTCTTTCTGATGATCACGCAGCGCCCACCTACCACATGCTCCTGTTCAGTGTAACACAAACCTAATAAGTAATGGGATGATAGCAGTGGAAAGGCAGCACTGAATCTGTTATAATTCTCTCAGAAGAGATTCAGTATGAGTCTTGTAGAAACATGGACTCAGCAGAGGCTGGGGTTTGTTTGGCCTACTGCAATTGAGATGCAGAAGGAGCATTGACTTCTGCAAATACGCTGAGATAGAGTGGGAAGGGAGAAGGAATATTTAAGCTGAGGAACAATGTTGGCTCAAGAAAAACAGGGAATGAACTAGCGTGAAACTGCGGTAAGATTGTAAATTAAGAAGAAATCTTCTCTGTTTAAGTAGCAAGGTTCTGGAGAAGCATGCAGGCAGAAATTGTTGGGGTAAATGTTCCAAGTCATGCTTAAAAGAATATCAAGCTGTGAGGGGGATGAGTAGGTCTCCAGTGATGACAGCTCGGCCTTGCCTGCCTTGAATTCTCTCTAATATGTTGGACTAAACCTGCAAGAGGTGCTGGGTTGTTAGTATCTCTCACCTCTGGGAATAAATAGTCCAATAAGGATGTAGGAGAAATATTCCTGCAGCTATTTTTGGCTGTCTCAGGTCTTTGACAATCAGCACTGTTGCGCTGTAGAGCCTGCCTGAATGTACTTCTTCATTTGAATTCCTCTACTTAAGTATCAGCATTTCCATTTCACAGATAAAGAAATTGAGACAGAAAGGTAAAATGACTGGCTTAATGTGCTCGCAGTAGAATCGGCACCCGTGCCCTGAACGCTGGGCGCTGTGCTGCATCTGCCTCTTTATACTCACGTTACCGTGCAGAAGGTCTGGCTAGCGAGCCTCTCTGAAACCTGGTGGGCTGCAGGCTTTCTGGCAATTTTCTGAGACATCAGCATGTCTCTTTATGGAAGATTTTAAGGTTATGGAATCTGCTATTTTTGCTTTTTATGTCTGACAAAGCGGACAATAAAAGAAACACAACAACTGTTCTTTGCAACTCCTCGCTGCCTAATCCCAGCACATACATGTTGCACTTACCACCTCATCATCTAGAAGCAGGGTTTTTTTGTTCATTCTGGTGTTGAAAGACCTGATGATCACTGGGCAAAAGGTTAATAACACAGTTGTGCAGTCTGGCAGGTTGGGACAGAAGAGCAAGCATGCCCATCCTGCTTGTCTCCGCCTAGCTAACAGGCACAGGTCCTTCTGCTGCCACTTTGACTGCTATAAACTGACCAGCTGCTGCTCTTCTCTGTTACTGAACTGCAGTAGCACGAGGGCTGTAGTTAAATACAGACTGGTATGCTCCTGCTTGCGTAATTGGAGCAAGCAGGGTTTAGGATGTGATCTGTAGTGGTGCTTGTCATGCTACCAGCCGCATGCTGGTAGCGCAGTCACCTTGCTACTGAAATATGGGAGGGGGAGAAAACAGAAGTCAATCGTGGCCTTTGTGCACACTCCTTTGCATTCTCTTCTTGCTTGATGTAACTCTAAGATCCCACCAGCTATTTCAGATGGCAGTTTTTTTGTTTTTTGTTTTTTTTTTTTTCCCCAAGTGATTTGGGAAAATAGCCACCTGAGCATAGGGGAACAAGGGAAACAAGCCCTTTGGTTTGATCTGGCTGAGGGAGGAAGTGCAGCACGAGGCCAGCTCTTTATTCAATTCCACAGCTCATCCAAGAGAGCCCCAGGAATGTGGCTGTGGTGGAGGAGGCTTTCCTTGGCACAGCCTTTGGAGCTGTGCAGCCATGAGGCAGACAGCTGTAGGGAAAAGGGCCTCATTACTCCATGGCTCATGGAGCTACTTGTTTAATTCCAGATTTGATTTAAGAATGCGTGTGTATATTAAGCACACAATGTATGTAAGAGAAGAACGATGTTGTATTTAATCACATACGCTTATTCTTGTGCTGTTTGTTTTGCATAAATAATTGCAGCATAAAGTCTGAATTATTTTATCCATTTCAGCCTGACCACAGTATTTATGTTGGTCTCACCCTCAGAGTGCAGGAGCTCTGCTTAACCTGCTCAGCTTTTGAGGCAGGCCTGCCTAATTTATTCTGAAGTGCAAAGAGTATTTGTTTTATACTGCTTCGTATTGCACATAACATTTGGCAATATGAAAGAGATGAAAGTCTTGCATGAAAACTTAATGCTTATGCATGCCAAAGGGTCTGAGGAGCAAATGTATAAGGAGTATTATTGGTGGCAGCTTGCCTTGGTAGTAGAGATACTTGTGTCCTAGTGGAGATGCTCTTGGTAGTAGAGGCTACTGTATACCAAATGGGGATAGGTTTCCTTACTGTGATGTGGAGCAACCTCCTAATCCTGGGGAGCGATGGGGCTGGTGATCAGTATGGGAGTCATAGCAGAAGGAGAGAACAGGACAGGGTTTTTTAATTGGGAAACAGGGCTGCCAGGACTCTGAAGAAAAGATTTGTTAGACGTGGAAGCTTAACATGAGTAAACCTTCCTTTTTACAGGCAGTGTTTTGATTACCTGGCTGATCTCTTTCCAGGGCACAAATGTTCAGCTGCGTTGATCACTTGGAGTCTAAAATATAAGCCTCATTATTCATCTCTTGTCCAGCTGCAGCGTTGGCTCGGAATTCAGACCGAGGAACTTAATTACTGAATATTTAAGGGCAGTGCTGAAACGGTAAAAGTTCTCCCCAGGATTGTGAAGCCGGGTATTAACTTGGGAGGAAAGGCTGGTTTGTCACCTTGAGCCCATGCGATGCCACTCATCAGCGAGGCGCTGCTCCCTGTTAGCAGGGGGGACTGTGAAAATGACAAGCACAGCCTTCTATTTCTAGAGGATCCAACATTTAATTACTTCGTTGCTGTCTCCTGTAAAATTGCTTCAGGCGCCAGAGCACCCCAGGCTCCCGGGTGCCGGAGAAGAGGTTGTTCAGCCTGAAGAGATGACACTCGGCCGAGCTTCTGGGGCTCGGTGCGGTCCCAGCAGCAGCGTGCTTGTGCTGGTTATGAATGTCCAGCGCTTGGCAGGGCTTTCATGCCTTCGTCAGGGTAAGAAGCTTTATCTCTGCCTACGCCAGTGCAGCCGACTCCTTCTGGGAGCTTCTGGTAGTTTGGCACAGCCTTGGTTTTCAGTGTTTGAGCTCTAGTTGGAGGTGTCTCCAATTTTGTAGCCAC